TAAACAAGAACAATCTTCATCTGAGATCACTCACCTTCTAAAGATGCTTCTTTCCAAACAGTCTTAGATTTATGTTTTATTTATCTGATGTTTGAGCACTTGTTTTAAATTTCTCATCTGATGTTTTTGTCTATTCTATCTGAATATTTGAATGAATGAATGAATCTGAATGTTTTCTCTATCTGATTGTATATTTTCTCTCTGTTTCCTTTTATTTGTCTTTAAAAGTTTTCTTTTTTATTATGACAAAAAGGGGGAGAAAATAAAATTCTGACTGTTCAAATAAACTTTACCTGAATGGAATTCATACATATCAAAATTATAACTAACATGAATTTTTAGTATTTCAGAACTATAATGATAAATCTGACAAAATTCTTTAAAGTAACTCTGTGATCCCCAGATCAAGTTTTAACCAATCAGACTCTGATTCTGAAATGTTCATCTAAATCAAGCTCTAACTTTGAACATTCAGGCTCTGATTCTGAAAAGAATACTCATGCAAAAGGGAAGTCTTTATTCTTTCTTAGTATTCAATTCAGGGGGAGATTCATAATCTCAGGGGGAGTTATAATTTATCTCTTTATTGAACAAAATTTCCTATGTTTTTGTTATTTTCAAAAAGGGGGAGATTGTTAGAACACAGATTGGTTCTTAGTTATATCTCTATGTTTTGATGATAACACTTATGAAATTTTGTATTAAGAAATTATATACTCTAAATTTTTTTCAAGTACTTTTGTTGCAGATATTAAATTTAATATTCTTCTGAAAGCAAAAATGGATCTGAACGTTGAACTACGCAAGGCCCTGAAGCGTCAGAAGCATCTACAGAAGACTCTGAGCGCTGCCTACAAAAGACTCTGAGCGCTGCCTACAGAAGGATTTGAAGCAGAAGCTACAGAAGCATATGAAGCGTAAACTGAAGACTTTGTATGAAGAGTTTCAAGCACTGTTTTTCAGAAGACTCTGATAGTACTGTTCACTGCAAGTACTAAGGATTTGATCACCAAACTCTGCTCTAATTAATTTTGCGCCGAAGCACACATGCTGCAACACTCTGATACAACAAACTCTGAAGACATCAAGACTCTGATCACTCATGGCTCTGATGTTAATTGCTGTGAATTAGAAACTTGTTGAAGAAGATTATTTGAAGTTATATCTGTTGGTTATGCCAAACAACTCTTTCCTCTTTTATGCTAGACACAAGAACTCAGGCAAAAAGGATTTCTCTGAACGTTCTACTTCTAGGAAAGGTCAAGTGATGTGAAGACAAAAGGCTACAGCTACTTTGCGGTACACGGTCTTCAAGCTTGCAACGTCTTGGACTTCTAAGTCTATAAAAGCAAGACTTCAACAACTTTCTTCAGTAGACAAAAATTGAACAATTCATTGAAAACCCTCTCTAAGCTCTCATACAAATTATTATTCTTTGCTAAATAGTTTTCATAAGTTCTTAAACTTAAGTGTAAATCACAGTTGTGATATAGCTTTCTTAGAAGCATTCAAACACTTGTTTAGTTTACATTTAATTGTAAAAGTTCCTTGAGAAGACCAAGTTGTGGTCAGTAGTTCTTGAGAAGACTAAGATAGTTGCTCTTAGTGGTTGTATTGTAATTAGTTTGATTATAATGGATTAAGTCCTTGTGGAGAAAGACAAATCACTCTTGATAGGGTGGACTGGAGTAGTTGAGTTCAACGAACCAGGATAAAAATCTTTGTGTCTTTATTGCCATAATATTTTCTAAATCCTTATCCAACCCCCCTTATAAGTATTTTCTCACCTTAAATGCACAGGGTAACTCCTCAGTTTACTCATCCCAACACGACCAACCATTGATGCGTGGGAAGTGCTGGAGGATCCAATCCTGAAATGAAATAAAAAAACATTCAGGGATCAAGAATTATCGCAAATATGAAATAAAAAAGATAAAAAAAACATTCAAGGATAAAAATTTATTACCACCAGTATAGTCATGTTACCTGTGGTCTGCTTTGTCGCCCACCGACATCCATCTCTTAGCTTCAAATACAAATATGTAAGTCAAGCCACCCCAGTTATACTCATGGATCCGTGTGAGATCCTAGAAGTGTTAGAGGTATGAAACGTCAATGTAGGTGGCACTTGTGTCCACAAAAAGCATAGTGCCAACTAAACATAGAAAATAACACCTCAAAGTATGAGTCTTGTGTATGGCCACCTCCTGTTCATTACCATCAGCTTGCACTGCAACAACGAGGGCTTAATCAAATCTCTCCTTCAAGAATGAAAACCTAACATGAGCACCCCTGGTCCTTTCCACCTCCTCCAGCGCCTTCCCTAAATCAACCCCTAGATGCTCCACCATTATATCAATTGTCTCGTCTTTGTCCTTCCTACCATGATGGAAGAATCTCCCTCTGATCGGTAGATGCAACAAACATAAGACATCGTCTAGTGTAATGGACATCTCATCATGCGGGAGATGAAAGGAAGATGTAAAGATCTAAGATGTAGATGGAGTGGCCTGAGGTGAAGACTGAATTCCAGGAGTGGACTGAGCCTCAGGAGTATACTGTATACCAACACTCAACGCCTCTCCCTAACAGAGGTACATGCTACATCCGGACCCGTCTGGCTTCGCTCTCTTCTAACTGTGTATTGGGCAAGGCATATGCAAGTTGAAGACACAAGGCACATGCAAGTTGGAGCACTATTCAAGCACGCTAACAGAGCAGCTCCAATCAACACTCTAAAACACGATTATGATTGTATGCCATAAGCCTTAAGTAGTGGAGAAGGAATGAGAATGGAGCTTTCCTACCCTCATTCTGAATATTTTGAACACGAGACGCTTGGCTCGCTCGTTTGAGATATTCGCCCAGTGCAATTCAATTCACATGATTGACAAGTATCATTCAACACCTCAGACACTACAATAATCAACATCAATAATACTCTATTGTGGATCAAACACAATTCTAATTAACTTTTCTCCTTTGGGTTAATCACATTCTCGTAGTTAAAATACCCTTTTTTTGGTTAATCATCGTCTCTCAGTTAAAACACCAATCTCCTTTGGGCTAATCACCATCTTTTGGATAAAATACTCTGTCCTTGGTTAATTAATGATTCTCAGTTAAAATATCAACCTCTTCTTTCCTTTTAGGTTAACCTTCTCTTGATTAAAATACCATTTTCTTTGGTTAATCACCGTCTATCTGTTAAAATACCATTTTCTCTACTTCTTTGGTTAATCACCTTTTATTGGTTAAAATATTTTTTCCTTGGTTAATCATCGTCTATCGGTTAAAATACCACTTTGAAGCATTTTTACACTTTCTCATCCTCTCTCTTTTTGGATTAATCACATTTTGGTTAAAACACCCTTTCCTTAGTTAATCATGAATTCTCGGTTGAAAGGTCATCCTCTCTCTTTTGGGGTTAATCATTTCTTAGTTAAAATACCCTTACAACTTTCTTTCGTTGGTTAATCACTATTTCTCAATAAACACCAACTGTCGTTGGGTTAATCACCTTCTCTTGGTTAAAATATTCTTTCCTTGGTTAATCACCTCCTCTTGGTTAAAATACCCTGTCCTTGGTTAATCACCGATTCTCAGTTCAAATACCAACCTCTTATTTCCTTTTGGATTAATCACTTCTTGGTTAAAATACCTCTTCCTTGGTTAATCACCGATTCTCGGTTAAAAGATCATCTCTTACCCTTTTCTTCGTTAATCACCGATTATCGGTAAAAAAGACTATCTTCTACCATTTTCTTGGTTAATCACCACCTATCGGTTTAAACACCATTTTCTTTTTCCCTCCTGGTTAATCACTGATCCTCAGTTAAAATACCAACATCTCTCAACCTCTCCTCTTTTAGGTTAAACACCACTTCTTGGTTAGCAAACCTCATAACTCCCTTTCGTTGGTTAATCACTACTTCTCAGTTTGGACCAATTTATTTTGGGTTAATCATCTCTTCTTGGTTAAAATACCCTTACAAATTCTTTCCCTTTGGTTAATCACCAATTCTCGGTTAAAACACCATTTCTCTTATCTCTTTTAAACTCTACTCCCTTTTTGGGTTGTACACCACTCCTGGCACTCTTATTCCTTCTCTTAGTCATGACACCACTTGCCTCTCTCATACCTAGTTCTCCGAACTACAGAGCTCTAATTTTCTCATTGTACTGTGAGGATACGTAGACACAAGATTGCAAGATCTTGGCGAGCACCCTTCTTCTACAATCTTCTTCCAACCTTTCGTCCTCTGTTTCCTTAGTTCTTCGAACTACGGTGCTTTGATTTCCTCATTGCACTATGAGGATAGGTAGGCACGAAGGCTCCAATCTTCCACGAGCACCCTAATTATAAACCTTTTTCCCTCTTCGCAAGTAAACCTTAGATATTAACACCCATCCAAGCAAAGAAAAATCAAAATGGTTCATGTGACCATGTCTATCTAGCAGCAAGTCCTTTTCCTGAAGATTACTGCAGTCTAGTTATTTTTTGACAATTGAATAAACAAAATAGTTTAAGGAACAAATAATGACCCCGTGTTCGAATTTCCGATGAATTCAACACCTAAGCCCAGCAAGAAGAACCAAATCTAAGATAACAAAGACAACAAAACCAAAACCATGAGCACGCCCTGTTGCGTGATCTTGCATGATCACAACCTCAATCACCTTCCCATATGTGGAAAAATACTCCCTGAGACGTTCCTCATATGTGTGCCAAGATATTCCTCCAATGAAGAGCTTGCCGAGATCGATTCCATCTGAAAATGCAGGTTAGAAATATAGGTATTGTGCATTGAAATTATGATTAACAGAAAAACCATAATGTTGATATAGTGACATATAGTTACAATGCTAATACTAACCTGCATTTTTCTTACACCAAGCATGTGTCAACACAATGATTAGGATTAGGATGAGCATGATGAGGAAATTATGATTAACTGTGTAAATATGCAGCCCTGCTACTTCTCTCTTCAACCTCCTGTTCATTGCCGCCAGTATTCGGTGCATCTGCCCCCACAAAGCTGCAATCATAAAACCATCACCAAAATTTCAGTACTGAGTGTGTTAAGGAAGATACAATCAAGGGATTGCGACTGCATATAGACAGATCCAATTCAAATACTGGTACATGTTTTACAAGTAATTACGTAAACATATTCAAAGAGATGATGGATATAATTCAAATACTGGTACCGGTTTTGAGATGCAACATCTACTAGAAAAGAAAGGAAAAATATAATTCCCCAATGAATCAAAAAATATACTACTAAACAGAGAACTTCTGTAACACAAAAAAGATGCATATTAGAACAACATCACACAGTAGTGTTGTTTCTTCTTTGACAACCCAACCACTTTGTTTGTTCAAGTCAACTACTAGATCTATGTGAGTTCTCTCAAAGCTGAGATAGATGCTAGTGAGCAGGATGAAGTTTCTCAGAGATTACTAGATGACTTTAATTGTGTGCCTACCTTTCTACCCCTTTGGCCTGTAGAGAAAGTTTTATCTTGGTTTCTGTAAGCAGCAGCTCTGGCCTCTATTCCATTATGGCAACATGTACTCCATCTAGCACCGAGATTGGTTCCCCTGCAAAAATATTATTGCATCAGATTAGTATCTAAACTCGGTTGAGTACACATAACATAGAAGCATAAACAAGGAGTAAAAGTAAGGATCCAGACACATTCATTTGCAGTAAACCGTTTAGCCTTTAATTTGATATCAGACCGGCTCAACTTGAGATGTTATAAAGTACCTCTCACCACTTACTGCATCACATGTCAAGCCTTGAAGCCACATCCTATACCAGCAAGAATCATGATTCACAACATTCATGGAACAGAGCAATTAAACCGTACGTTCTAATTTTTTCTTTGATGCTCCACACTAAGCTACGCACGTCTACGGTTAATATATGCTACATCCATCAAGCCACATCCTACAAAAGAAAAGTACGTAAACCATGAAAACTCAGCTCATGTTATAACGTCATTTACCGATGCTCAATCCTGCACTCTGCACAAGTTTACTCCCATCACTATATTTGTACCATAAATCATGACCTCACAGTCACGCCAGAAAGGAAACCGGACGTGCCGTCGTTACCTTTTTCTCCTTTCAAAACCAAACAACAAGCCATTAACTCTCAATCCAGACCTGTAGTTCGAAAAACCAAAGTCACATCGGAGTTGTTCTTGCTTTTGTGTGATACATATAATATGAACAAGTAGGAATTAACAAAGCAATATTCATTACCACTACAACTCTCAAACACGGCCTTCCGCAACAACTCGACCAACTACGAAACTCTTTTGCTTCTTCTGTTCTTTCACGATATCACCATCATCTTGAAACTCACCTTCACGAGCCAAACAGCTCCTTCAAACACCATCAACACTCTTCATGCAACTTTTCCTTTTCATGTAAATTTTTCACTCTTTTATGTAACACCTACACTATATTAACCATCCTTTTCAAAAACTCACCACAAACAATCCATATTTCACATTGTAAACAAGCTCATTCAATAAAACTCCATCGTGCGACAATGCACCACTTTCTGTCGTATAAAACAACAACATTCAACCATCCGAACTCATCAAACTTAACCTGTTTCTAATAACCTTATAACTGAGTTCCTCCTTCCATTGTTGTAACATTTACGACATCGCCAAGTCATCAACATCATCTCTCCTTCCACGTTTCTCTTCACCCTTATACAACCATGCACACAATGTTGCTTCCTCTTTTCAAGCTCATGCTGACAGTGCGGTAACAACGACAAAAACCACTCACACGTGTCACTTTTCTTGATGTTTCCATAACCATGAGAACCAACATAGCACCACCTGCTATTACTTGAAAAAAAACCAACCGTAGCTCCTTTCCGAAAAATTACACTCCCTCTTCTCGTTTCAATACTCCTTCACACCATAACCCTTTCAAAGCATTTTTACAAATAGTTGGTGTGCAAGGATAACTCAATTGCTAGCAGTAACAACAACAGCCGCTGTGATTTCTACGAACCACATCTGGCTCTTCTTCCCTCTGTATTTTCCATCTTCCTCTTTTTGGTTTCACACAAAGTTATCATCAACCTCATCTTTAACCTATTTCAATCAAACCTTCTTCAAACTCAATTCCATTTCCTTAAGATCTCCTTCACAGAACCACCATAAACCTCACAAAACCTGTAACTTCTGCAAATCATCTTCAAACCAATCCTCACATAAACACACTCCTTCTATCGTTCTATTTTAAAGCACAACAACTATTACCGCCGACCTCCCTTCAAACCACAATACTGCTACAAATAGGGTGGAACGGTTTGGAGAAAGAAATCACGGCGAGAATCACGAAACATAAGGATTGGGACACGATGGAGAACGAAGTTGAAATGCGAGATTGAGTAGGAGAGAAAGCACACCAGAGAAATCCAAACAAACCTGAAACCAGAACAGATCAAAGCATAGACAAGGGAGGGAAGCGATGTCGTGGTCAGTCCATGAATCCCTCCCAAAATGGCCAGAAAACGTAATCACCTCCATTGATAGAAAAAGAAAAGGATGCTACAGTCAATGTCAAATAATTTGGGAAATTTAGTGAAAAGTGAACAAAGAGAAGAAAAGGAATGAACATAAGCTCATATCCAAGTTTTTTTTCTCGTTTTCTTTTTAACTGAATTGCATTTGATTTGGTCTTTCTGAAAAAGTAAAGTTTAATAATAGCACTTTTTACAAAGTGCTATCAAAATCACATTTTGTTTTCTTTTTAATACCATTTTTTTTAAAAGCGTTATCTTAGTGAAGAATATTAATAGCACTTTTAAGAAAGCGTTATCTTAGTGAAGTTTAATAATAATATTTTTTTATAAAGTGTTATTATAGATGTGTTTGTTTCTTTTTTAATAGCATTTTCTTTAAAAGCGTTGTCTTAGAGAAGAATATTAATAGCGCTTTTAAGAAAACGCTATCTTAGTGAAGTTTAATAATAGCATTTTTTTACAAAGTGCTATTATAGATGTGTTTGTTTCCTTTTTAATAGCACTTTCTTTAAAAGCTCTATTAAATTAGGCGATACAAAATATCAATGTTGGCGTAGTGACACGCGAAGGAAGAGCATACGACGTTGTTTTGGTTTAGGGTTTTCCGCTGTGGCGCGTCGCGTTTGCGGATTTGTGAAGAGGTTGAAGGGAGTTTGGCGTGGAGAGGGGAAAGAAGAAATATGCAGCTGAAGGTTAACGTGTTTATGGAGGGAGTTCAGATCGGACGGGTGTTAGAAGTTGTTTTAAGTTATCGAACTTGGTGTTACGATCGTGGTAGAGGTTGTTTCACGTGCAGTTACGGTGGATGTTTGAGTTACCATAAGGAGGTTGAAGGTGATGGAAGGTGGCTAAAAATGTGTGGGAAAGGAGATGGTTGGTGATGGGTTTTTCAGTGAGGAATAAAGGGTGTTACGCATATGGCTTAATTTGAGTAGTCGTTGGAGCCGTGGGGAGAAAAGAGAAGAGGTTAGTTTATTAATGGAGGATGATTGTTGAAAAACCCAAAGAAAATCTTAGAGAGAGGGTACTGAGTTCGTCTTTTTTTAAGTAAGAGAAAGAGGTTATTCCTATCCCCCTCTCTTAATGGTACGCTGATACACTCATATCTAAGAGAGAGGATATGTTTTGGTGTACTGGTTTTGTTTTGTTGTTGTGACATTTTGTTTTCAAATGGCCAGTCTATACAAGTTGTTGTCTCTTTCATATGCTAGTTTGGCAGAATTTTGTGCAGGATTTTGGAGTGTTATTCTGACTTTGTGTTGCAGAATATGTTTTGAATTGTTGCAGGCTGTAATTTTAGAGCAGACTTTTGTCTTTTTTTTTAAGGTTCAGTGTAGCAGATCCATTTTGGTGTATGAAGATGCAAGACACGCAGGATTATTATGTTCAGTAGGGAGAGTTTTTTTGGAATTTTGTGGCTTGTGTGATGTAACGCAATGCAATAATCAAAAACTAATTGTACTTAAACCAATTAAAATAAGAACTAATTAAATTAAATTAAATTAAAATATAAACTAAATTAAAATATGAACTAAATTAAAATATGAACTAAATATAAATTAAATTAAAATAAATTAACTTAATTAAAACTAAACTAATTAAAAAAACTATACTTAAGTAAAAAAATAAACAAAGTTAAAATTAAACTACATTGAAAATAAACTAAATAAATAAATAAACATAAACTCTATTAATATTAAACTATTAGAAAATTAGACTTAATCAATCTTAAATAACCTTAAGATAACAAAAAACAAATTTCTAAAAAGGAATTATAAAAAAAAAAACTAAAAATACATGATTAATGATCAATGAAATGTTTAACTAAAAAAATGCAATAAAAAAAGGTTGACTTAAATATGAAATGATAAAAGGTCCGAGGATAAAATTTTGGGTATGACAATTGCCCCTATTTAAATATCTTCACCGGATGACATGAGTGGTGATAATCCTCATGAAATCATGGTGAAAGGTATTTAAATATAGATGACCGAAAATTTTGCCCTTAGATGCAATAACATGGTATGCTCTGGACAAGACAAAACTATGTAGTGCTGACATGCCATGAACTCTAATATAATGATAATGATGAGATGATAAATGAAAAATGCAGATAAAGAAAGCAAACAAGGATAAAGTCAACACAATGAGTAACCACTCACTGGGGAGAAGAAACAACATTGGAGAAGCAACAATCATCATCCATGAACGGAACTGGATGGAAAAAAGTCACAACATTCAGAAGATCATTGAAAGAGGTGAGGAGAAATATGGGAGATACACTAAGGACATTGAAACAAACATCAGAGACATTCAGAAAACATTGGATGAACTCTGGAAAACAATAGACATTTGAGATATTCGAAAAAATATCGAATAAACTCCGGGACTCATCCAAAAAAGCATTGGATAAAGAATGGAAACAGACCTGAAAACATTTAGCAATTGTTAACCAAATTCAGAAACAAATTGAAGACATCTAGAAGAGCATTAGATAAAGAAAAAGATTCTAAATGTACATCCGAAACATTTAGAAGAGCATTAAATGTACGTGAAAAGGTTTGAAGACATATCTGGAAGAACATCAGATAAGCAACAAAGGAGTTCTGAAAGAACATCAGAACAAAAATACATATCCGGATAAGCATCAGATATGTACAAAGGAATTTATGAAAAAACAATCAGAAACAAAAGTCATACCCGGAAAAACATCAGATAGACACAAAGGGGCTCTGGAAAAACATCAGAACAAAATACATATCCGGAAAAGCATCAGATAAGTACTAAGGAGTTTCTGGAAAAATATCAGAAACAAAAGTCATATCCGGAAAAGTATCAGATAGACACAAAAGGAGTTCTGAAAAAAACATCAGAACAAAAATACATATCCGGAAAAGCATCAGATAGGTACAAAGGAGTTTCTGGAAAAACATCAGAAACAAAAGTCATATCTAGAAAAACATCAGATAAACACAAAAGGAGTTCTGGAAGAACATCAGAACAAAAGTCATATCCGAAAAAGCATCAGATAGTCACGAAAGGGCTCTGGAAAAACATCATAAGCAAAAATCATATCTAAAAAAGTATCAAATAGACACAAAAGGAGTTCTGGAAGAACATCAGAATAAAAGTCATATCTAGAAAAACATCAGATAGACACAAAGGAAATGAGATTCTGGAAAAGCATCAGAATCACAAAGGACTGTCTGGAAAAACATCAGATAGGTTCTGAAAGAACATCAGAACAGAGAATTGATCCGGAAAAACAACAGATAGAGAAGCAAATCTAGAA